GCCTCATGCAGCTCAAAGACGGCGAGCGACCGCTGAGACATTTCGGTTTAATTGAAGGGGAAACAATGATCCTCGCTCACTTCCTGGTCACCCATTTTCTTTAATCAATTTCCTCCCTTTGGCCCTATATCATCTGTAATTACTTTCCCTTTCCCTCCCCGTGTGTGCGTTCCTACTGGAGCAAAGGTCCTCGCGCAGAAACACACTCTCAGACTCGCACACGTTTGGATTACCCCCGTTGGCAATACCTTCAGCATCATTACCCCGTTACCCTCCCCGCCGCCCCCTGCTTTAGGTCCTCCGGCCTGAACAAAAGAGAAGACCCACTGGCTCCAGAACCCCACCAGTATGCAACCTCTGACCCTGACCACCTACACTACTGAAAACCTACGTGCACACACAGGTTCGTGTACTTTGTACCTCGCCTAATATACATGAGGTAGATACCACTGCCCACAGAGCACGTGAGGGGGGATGAAGGGAGAGAGACAGGCGAACACTGGCCTTTGTTAATATCATCCTAACTTATGATCACAGGAGTCCGATCCTCGAAAGGTTCTCGTGGTAGGAGTTCAAAAGGTTAGAACACATTTACCAGTTCTTTCTTTTCCCACTTCTCTCCGTCGGGTTCCTTTGACTTTGACTCATTCGACACTTGAACGACACAAAGGTAATCAAGTGTTTAATGAAAATTTTCTGGGAGATCATACTTCTATTTGTTAACAACCCCCTGAGGGACTCTATTAAACTTTATTTTCCTGTTCCTGAGTGAATTATGAAGACAGCGCTTGTAAATATAACATCTTGTGCTAAACCCATTGTTTCCCCCGAGACATTTTGGCTACATCTGGATAGAAATGCCCTCCATTTATTTGGCTTCACATTTTCTAAATATGACCACCCAGAAAAAAACAGAGCAAACCACCCACACACACTACTGCGTGGGCCTGTCTTTCAACTCTTCCTGATGGCTTTGATGAATGAGAGGCTTGGCTTGGCTGTTGTGTTTGACAGTGATGTTAAACTTTGAAATAAAGCGCAGGGGAAGAAGAAGAAGAAGAAGAAGAGGAAGAGGAAAGGTGTTGCCTAAGTATAAGTGAAGCAGCCTGACTGGTGTGGACCAGACTGGGCTCCCGCAGAGTCAACATACTGTGGTTCTGATTGGTCCCTGTTTAGAATGATATCAGAAGGACTTGATCATTGTTTCCCAAAGACTGGGTTGCAACCCTTAGGTGGGTCGCAAGAGTTTTTTTTTTTTTTTTGGGTGGTTTCACATCTTTTTTTTCAGGAGTTTTCAAAAATGTTCTTGGGTCCCCAGAAAAAAAGGTTTGGGAAACACTTGACTTAAATAAAGAGTACAAAAAATAGAGGGGTATTTGAGGTAAGTATATAGTGTATATAGTTCATGGAATATATTGGTTGTTGAGGGAGAAATTAGAACAGATAGAAAGAAATCAACACGATAGATAGATAACAGGAGCAGCAGCAGAGTATATGAAAATAATAAAGAGATAGATAGATAATAGGAGCAGCAGCAGAGTATATGAAAATAATTAAAAAGAAATTCTACTATCCCATATTTGGGAAATTGTTGTTAGCAGCAGATAAACTGTTAACAGGCCGCTGTCAAGCATTTCTCTAGGAATCAAACTGAGGACCCATCTGGTTCCAAGGCAGGCGTGCTAACCACTACACTATGGAACTGACTAATATAATTGGGTATGAGTAGATTAGTAGTAGTAGTAGTAGTAAATATGACTTCAGTTGAAAAAACACTCATGAACGCTGACAAATGTTGGACAGATCATCAGTCCAGCAAAGAAAGAAGAAACAGCGTCATCGATTATGAAAAGGTGCTTGAGAGGCCAGTTTGTGACGGATAAGAGCGGACTGTGTGTGGTCAGGTAGTGACACACACACACACACACACACAGCAGTGTGTGCTTGGTGATTGGTTTGGCCTGCCTCAGGTCAATCAGTGCAGCCGTGAAACCTGTGGGCCGTACCTGCTGTTTCCTGCTCCTCACTCAGCCTCAGCCTCAGCCTCAGCCTCAGCCTCAGCCTCAGCCTCAGCCT